TGGTTGCAAAACTATTTGGAGATTCTTAAACAATGATGCCTTACTGTTTAACTGGTGGAAGATCAAGTATTATTCTTTTTGGAATTTCAAAATCACTAAAAGCTCCGCTTACTGGCATTTTCTATGTGATATTGCAAAAACTTTTAGACAAAACATGACTCTTAATATCACTGCCTTCAGTAAGCTTTCTTTCTATTGGGATCCTTGGTGTCTGGATCTCTCTGTTGCCGAAAGGTTGGTTAATAATAACAGGGAAGATTTAATTCCCTATTCCGATTGCTCTGTTAGGGACTGTTTTTCTGATGGCACTTGGTCTTTACCTTCCACCATCCCTCTGAATTTAGCTGCTCTGATTTATTCTGTATCCATCTCGGGAAACACGGTAATTTCAAGCTGGAATAGCAATGGCAAACATTCTTTCCACACCTTTCATAAGAATTTTTTTCAGGGTCTGGAAACCGTTCAGTGGTCTAATTTTATCTGGTTTAAACATCATGCTACCCGTTTCTCTATATACTCTTGGATGGCTTTTAGAAATGGGCTTAAAACTGCTGATGCATTGATCTCTAGGGGTATTCCGGCATATTCTGAATGTGTTTTTTGCAAAACTGAAAAGGAAAACATTAAACATCTTTTGTTTGAATGTGATTTCTCATATAATATTCTCCTAAATACTATTCCTCAGATGAGTTATATGTTGTTTAGACCGAATCTGTGGCAAGTTTTTAACTCCATTGAGGAAGGAGACATGGATCATAGCCGTAAAAGCCTTTGCTATCTCTTGCTTACTGCTATTGTTTATTACATCTGGAAGGCTAGGAATGACAGGCTTTTTGGGAATACTATTGACTGTCAAACCACTGTTATTAGCAATATTAAGAGAGCTGTTATGCTTAAGATTTTGAAGAAGAAATGCTTTCAAAATTTACACCATTGGCTGGAATGAATTGGCTTGTTCTCCTGGGCTGGCTCCTTTGGACTGCGGAAGTATATCACCTGGATGGTCTTCTTTGGCAACCGGGCAACAAAGTTTTGAAGGGCAATGATGAATGCAACATTATATCTATCCCCTTGGATGGCCTTTTTGGCAACCAGGGGACCCATCCATCCGACTGGATGAATTTTGACGCTTGGGAGTTTAACTTGAGGGTTGCAACCTGAGCCCTTTTTATTTTATTTTATTTTTTTTTTCAAATCTCTTTCCTGCACTTTTTATTGTCTAGTTTTTTTTGATAGTTTTCTGCAGCTTTATGCTGATAGTTTAGACTAGCTTTCTTTTTTTCTGCAGCTTTTTTGCGGCTGTTAAGGTTTTGTTGACATCCACTGGAAGGTTGTGGTGGCTGTCAATTTTGCAAATACCGAGTTTTTTGAAAAAATACCGAGTTTTTTGAAAAACTCGGTATTTGCACTTTTTGACCTATTTTTGCCTAAAACCGAATCTTCCTCTACATCCAGTGAAAGGACCTAATAATTGCTCAGGTAAAAGACTATAAGTATTAGTAATGATAAAAGCTAACAGTAAGAATGGGAATAACGGTTTGATAGTAATAGCTTGCTAGTGCCATGTGCAAGGTGTATAAGTTATCCCACGGTCTTATAGTGTGACTGCACCGCATCACAACATATATAAATACTCATGAACAATTATCTTTAGTTATAAATTATTCAATTTAATAGCTAAAGGTGCTTACTTAATAGCCGGAGTAAGCTGATTTATTGGATGAAAATTTTGTATTGCTAGATAAAGTCGCCAACATAACAAGAAGAAAACGGCTTCATTTGGAATGTTTTTTTTTTTGTTAAAACCCATCCACGGGTCTACACATTAATATGAAAAAAAAAATTATAAGATACTTAAGGGGACCTCTAGCTCCCTACTACTTGACTGAGCTAAAATATCAAAAAAAAAAAAAAAAAAAAAAAAACACCTACGAGCCGGTGGCCACCCCCTAAGAAAAATTACAAGGAAACCTAGTCTAGGTCGGCCAGAAGCCAACATCTACAATTGTAAACTCTAAGTATAGTTATTCAGCTTAATCTTGCCACTAAAAAGATCAACCTCCAGCCACTTGGAATACGGAGATGAAGAGCAAGTAATAGATGTACCTGTAAAAACTCAAAACATAACACAATACAAGATATATTAGATAACAAAAACAGTGGTATGTAGGTAAGAATTTTGCAAATGGTAGAACCTATACAAAATATCATTTAGCTTAACCAGTATAATAGGTATATCAACAGAGAGTCACTAAGAAGGATAGAAGAAATTTACATGATACTAGTAAATCAATAGCATTGGACATACATGCATATATTTAGAATGAAAAAATAAAACCTTAAGGATATGAAAACTCCAGTCATGTGGCAAACCCCTCAAGATTCACTTCAGACAGCATGAATAAATCAAACAAGCTTAACAAAGTTAAGAGCAACCATAAACCATGATAAAACATAATAGATGGAAATAACATGAAACACCAAAACATTAATTAGACCTTAAATAAGGTAAACCGGTATGATCGAGCAAGACCAAGCCATTAATCATTTAGGGAAGTAAATAATCCTGAAATTCGATAAAATTGGGAAGGCTACAACCAATCTTAGCTAGTGCATCAACACACATATTCCCTTCATGCAAGTGAACGGGTAGCTTTTGAGCTTGCACAAATGTACTTGATTCAGCCGTAGACCGAATATGCATGCTTTGATGAGTACATTAAGAGCCTGATGAATTTATTAGGATTCTGACGATTTCATCATCTTTATCGTCTTTATCATTTCAAGTTGCCTTCAGCTGGGCCGCCGTACGCGAACTAGACTTTCGTGGTTGTTGGATCAAAACCCATCGTGGACAGTACTGATTACACGCCAACAAGTGAATGGATTGTAGGAAAATATACAACGAATTAAGGCCCACGGAAAGCTACCAAGGACCAATATGGTCCAATGCTGTAGAACGACTTGATTTTGTTTGAGCACCAAACATTGGCAGGTACCCCAAAATCATTGTTTGGTTAATGATTTTATGCGTAAAAACAGGACTGACGTCCTTGAGGAATGAAGGACTTATAATCAGATGGCATTATAATAAGTGATGTGGTGCATTTTAAGCTAGAATAGTCCTTAGGAGTACTTTATCCATTTTGTTCTAAAATGCTCCTTTTACTTTATAAATAGCAAGTTTTGTAATAGGGAAGTCATTGAATGATATATACATCCCTTTTGAAGCTTGTGAAGCTCTCTTCTTCTTCTTCCCTGGATTGGGAATCCTAAAATCCTTCGTGCAGGTATCATCTTCCGACGATCCACTACATCAGTTGGTATCAGAGCCTGGAGCTTGTGAAGATCGATGGACTGCGGAAGAAGGTCGGCTGTCGACGACGATCGAAGCCGCAAAACAAGATTGGCGGTCGACGACGATCGACGCCAAGGAAGGTGGGCTGTCGATGATGCTCGAAGCCGGATCGCCTTCTACCAAGCTCTATCGAAGGAATCGCTCGATCGGGTAGACAGAAACCTTGATCTGATTCGCGAAAACCTTCGAGCAATAAGGAAGATGAGGATGTCGTCAGCAACCATACCGAGGTATTCTTCTTCTTCTTCGATCTCATCATCCGCTTCACGCAGACGCCGTCAGCCCCGCCACGATTACCCTCCGCTCGAGCTCCCTCTCCGATGGCGTGACCCGCCACCAAGATACCCGCCGCTCGATCGTCCGATGAGATAGCGAGATCCTTCGCCTGATCGAGCAGTTCGCAACCACCCCGGGCCCGTCTTCAGCGATTCATATCGGTTCCAGCATCATCCGCCTCCCGCGGACATGAATCTTTGCACACCGCCAGCGAGCTCAACTCAGCGTCCGCCTCATGATTCGCCTGCATTTTCGATGCTCGAGCGAAATGCAGCCATAGAGCTCCCGTCTTCTGATATGGAAACCCACGAAGAAACTGCCGCTACTATGGTCGATTCCGCCTCTGCTCAGCTCATCGGAACACGCACAGAGCTCCCGTCTTCCGTTCCTTTGGACTCGGAGATGCGAGATCCAACACTCACAGCTGCTACTTCGATTCCATTTGACCAAAGTTTGCCCGTCCAGCCCTTCCAGCTCACTGTCCGAGCAGATCTACAGCCCGACGCTGACTCCGACTCGAACCCTCCTTCACCTGCCGACAGTGACTCCGATTCATCCTCCGGAGACGATCCGTTTGGCGATATCGACCGCGCCCTCTCCCTCAAGCGCCAGGAATTCGTTAATCAGGGCCTTCTGCCTCCCAATCCCCCGAAAAGTAAGAATAATGCTCCTCGCGTTGATTCCATTGACGAGCTTTTACCCGAAGAAGTCGTTGATGTTGAGGAGATCGAGGAGCTTCATGGACTTACCGTAATATCCAATGACGAAATCCAGGAAGAAAATACTGCCAAAATGTTAGAGGAGGAGGAGAAGGTAGCTGCTGCACTTTCCGATTCACCATCATTTGAACTTGATCTTGAAAGTTTGGGCAACTCCAGGAACCAGATATTGGAACCTAAATTCGGTATGACGCTTGTTGAGCTTCTGGATGATAGCCGGGTTGTGCCATTGTCTGTTTATGGAAATTTGGAGGTGTTGATCACTGAAATTCAGCATGATGCTAAAGAAGTCAACTCCGGTGATCTCTTTATTTGCTGTCATGGAGCAACCACTGATGGGCATGATTATTTAACTGAAGCGGATAGGAGAGGAGCGGTTTCTGTTGTAGCTGATAAGGTGATAAATTTAGATGAGATGATAGGGTTCAAGGCTCTTGTTATTGTGGAGGATACCAATTTGGTGCTGCCGGTTCTTGCTGCTTCTTTCTACCGTAACCCTTCCAGTACATTGTCGGTAATTGGGATTACTGGGACACGCGGTAAGACCTCAATATCATACTTGGTAAAGGCGATGTATGAGGCTATGGGATTGAGGACAGGAATGTTGGGTTCTCTTGGGCACTACATCCATGGGGATAAAAAAATTGGATGCTTCTGAGTCGACTACAGATGCTGTTAGTATTCAGAAATTAATGGCAAAGATGGTCCATAATGGTACAGAGGCGGTTGTGGTGGAGGCCTCTTCTCATGGTTTGGCTGAAGGAAGATGTGATGAAGTAGATTTTGACATTGTCGTATTCACTAATCTGACAAGGGATCACAATCAATTGATTTATGCTCTTTGCATGGAAAACAGGCTGAAGAATGCAAGGAAGATGTTTGATTCTATTTGCCAGAAGGGCATGGTTCCTAATGTTGTCACTTTCAACTCTTTGATTGTTGGTTTATGCCAGAAAGGAAAAGTTGATGATGCTTTTGTGCTGATGAGTTCAATGGAGGCTAATCCTGATAGTAGAACTTGCAATGAGCTAATTGAGGGATTTTGCCGTGAAGATGATGGCCCAATCATTCTGGTTGGGAGTGCTCGCGCTAACCAGGATATTCATGATTTTGTTATTGGCACATATCATTCAACATACAAGTTGAATGGATTAAAGCAACTGTGGGATGCCTTAGCACTTGACTCTCAACTACAAAGATCCTCTGTAAAAAGAGATGCATATTTTGTGGGATCATGTTTTGAGACTTTTGAAATACTATGTGGACGGACATCAGCTCAAACAGACTATGAGGAAGATGCAAATGATGAGAACAAAATCTTCGATCCGGGGAATCTCTTTTTCTTCTGCAACAATCTTTTTTTTTTAATAATGCATCTCGACGGAGTCGAGCCTTTTTATGCTAGGGGAGAATGATGCGGTGCATTTTAAGATAGAAAAGTCCTTAGGAGTACTTTATCCATTTTGTTCTAGAATGCTCCTTTTGCTTTATAAATAGCAAGTTTTGTAATAAGGAAGTCATTGAATGATATATACATCCCTTTGAAGCTTGTGAAGCTCTCTTCTTCTTCTTCCATGGATTGGGAATCCTAAAATCCTTCTTGCAGGTATCATCTTCCGATGATCCACTACATCAATAAGGTTTTTTTTTTGGTAAAATTGGGGCCAAAGCCCATCTATTAATCAAGAAAAGTTACAGGTAAAGTAAGAAATTTACAAGTAAATCTATACCCACCCAAACCTATACTCAAAAATAAGGAAAATAAAATGACAGAGAGTAGCAGCTAAAAAATAGGGACTCAGAATACAGGACTACAACATGATTATCGCAAAAACAAAAAGATAATCAAACAGGGAGGAAGCAGGTTGCCGCTGCAAAAAGCAAGACCGTCACAGCTTCATGTAATGCTCGAGAAATTGTCCAGGATACCTTGGTTGCCAAAAAGACCATCCAAGGGGGTTGTTGTAGTCTATAGCTCATCATCGTCCTCCAAAAAGCATGCCCAGCACGAAGAACCAGCCACCAAAAAACCTGCCCAATTACAAATGTCCAGGAAAACCAAGACAGGACACCATAAATCACATTCATATTAAGTTCATGAGGGTGGAAACATGCTTCCAGATGACGATTTTCTCCAAAATTGTCTTTTTGGTCATGTAGGAATTGGCAAAACTGCTGGAGCAAGAGTTTCCATGCCTCATGGAATTCCTTTCTTTCCAGATAAAGTAAACACAGCAACAGGTGATAAGATAATAGAGCTTTTTAACCGTCTGGGAGAGACAAACATCCCCATTAATCCATTCAAGAAGTTGCAAAATAGTGGGTCTAAGAAAGAGTTGCCTCGCAGTAGGAAGAACCACCAAAATGATATCATAAGAATAAGAGCACTCAAAAAATAAATGAGTAATAGATTCTGGGAAAACTTGGCAAAGACTGCAAGTAGGAGGCACAATAATATTCCTTTTAAGCAATTCATCAGCAGTTTTCATACCCCCAACCAAAGCCAGCCAAGTAAAACAGGAAAACCTTAAAGCATGCTTCGGGTGCCAAACTAGATTAGACCAGTTGCATCTAGGGAGATAAGCATAAAACTCCAAGAGATAATCAGAAAATTTGCTATTTACTCTATTCTCTCATAATAAGCATTGGTTGGAGTCAATAAGAATAGGAATGTCCTGTATAGCCTCCCGAACAGGACCAGGGATGGAGGAAGGGAGAGCCCAAATGTTGTTCATGATACAATCCCTGATAGCGGAGTTACTGGGCAAAGCTTGCATCACATATAACCCATCAGAAAAATCGTCCAACCTCCCATTATAACACCAATGATCCCAGTGAATAGAGATAGGGGCAGAAGCAGTAATACGAAAAGAGAATTTAGGCTTAGCTAAAGCAACAGTTGCACAAACCGACTTCCAGAATTTGGTGGCAGCAGCAGGAGGTGTACACCAAGGGGATAAATACTTAGTGCTAAGCCAAGAAGATAAAGGGGAACTTAAATTATACATTCTCAAAATGACCGAGCAGTTAAAAGCATACTGGACACCACTAAGGGACGGAATCCCCAGCCCCCCAAACTGTTTGGGCTTACAAACATTTTCCCAAGAAACCATGTGAATCTTCTTGCTAATACTCGGGTCTCCAAAAAACAGAAACTTAGAACAAACTTTCTTAAAAAATTTGATAATAATAAGGTTTAAAAAATGAAATATATGGATTATAATAAGGTTTAAAAAATGATTCATGATATATAATCCAATTTTATTTATGATTATTTATTTTTATATTTAAATAACATGAAATATATGGATTTATTTTGTGGAAAAATTAAAAAATGATAATATTTATTTTGAAAATATAAAAAATATTAAAATATTAAAAAAATATTTATAATCGATTAAAATAATTGATATATAAACCTACACATCTTTAGGGTTTATTTCTGACGGCTAAAATTTTATGTAAAAGTGATTAGAATTTTGTTGTGGGAAAAATATATTTTTTTAAAACTACCGTAAAGAAAGCAACGAGAAAACAATAAAAAGTTATTCTAAATAGACCTTTAATGACGTCATAATCTTACTATATAGGATCCTTATTAAGGATCTAGGTAGATAAATCCATGAAAAAAAAATACTACATGAAATAATTATTTAGATTATATAATTAATTAATTAAAATTTTGAAAATTAAAAAAAATAAAATTGTATATTTATATGAAATAGACATGATAGAAACTACAATAATCTCATATATTTTTTTACTTAAAAATATTAAATTTTTAAGAAGTGAAGATGTTTAAAGTAATTTCAAGATAAAGTAAAGTTTTTGCAAATATTTCTATAAAATCTATAAATGAAAAAAGATATATAATTAATAAATATATTGTCGTTAAAAAAATACATTTAATGACGGCTTCGATTAGAATCTAATAGAAAACCTGCATTCCAATAAACGCAACAGAGGATGGCTAATGCCCGGCGAAATAAAGGATGAGGGAAATGATTAAAGATGTCTTAAAATTATTAGTAGAGTAATTAATTTTAATTTTTTTACCTAATGAGATATTGAAACTCGCATCTTAATTGTTAAAAAATAATATAATTTTTGTTCATCAAAGGCATGTGAGCATGTCCTTCCGATACCTGTGAAAAATTGTATTTTATTTTAACAATATGGGCCATCTTTAGTCCAAGCCCAGCCCATTGAAATGACCGAATGAGCGCATGAGCATACTAAAACCCAGGGATTTACATACATAGCATTTAAATAATAAATTTAATATTTTTAATATTTAAAACAAAACTCGAACTTAGCTCAAACTCTTTTAATTAATTAAGCTAAATTTAAGGGTGACTTAAACTCAGCTCGACTATTTTATTCCCCTAATTATAAAAAATATATTTGATCAAATATGAATTTTTGGGCTATACTTAAAGTACAATTTTTTAATTAATAGTTAAAAGTTTCTAAATATTTGTCAATTACTTGATTTGGGTTCATTTGTACTCATATCACTCAAAAATGTTCTTCCATCTATTATTCATGAAAGTCAAGCTGGTTTTATTAACAAGAGATGTTCATCTAGCAATATTGTTTTTGTTTATGAGGTCCTAAGGGAGTTTAAAACTAAGAGAAATCTATTTTGTGCTAAGATAGACATTATAAAAGCTTTTGACAATCTCTAGAGATTTTTTAGTACATCGGATGAGCCAAAAAAGTTATCCTGAAGTTTTTTTAAATTGGATTAAGAGTTGCATTAAAGAAAATTTTTTCTCTATTTGCATTAACGAATCTCTTGAGGACTTTTTCGTATCTTCCTCTTGCCTCAGGTAAGGGTACCCTCTTTCTCCTATGTTATTTCATTATAGTCATGGATGCTCTTTCTTGTTGTCTTGATTATTACCAAGACCATGCCTTCTGCGGCATTACTTCAAATGGACATAATCTGAATCACCTGCTTTATGCGAATGACTTATTGGTTTTTTAGGTTGCTTCCACCCACAATATTTTAAACCCTTAGCATATTCTTAAATTGCATGTAAGGTGCAATTTTTTAAATTAAGCATTTCTAACACATTCTCATGCTAGATTAGAGGAGCTATTATCCCTAAAAGCTGCTGTAAAATTATTGATATGCCATGCTCCCAAATTTTATTTCATGGCAATACAACTGATAGAAGAATGCACATTATTGCTTGGAAAACTATTTGTAAACCTAAGATTTATGGCAAACTAGGCATTCCAACTATTGATGCTCTCTATCATAGCTTCGCTTGTTCTTTTATTTGGAGGTTCCTCATGCAGGATTATGCAATTCCTAATTAGTATATAGAGAAGTTCATATCACCCTGGAAGCCTCCCCCTCCCTAGGCCTCTAAAATGTGGAAAAACATTTGCTCCACGACAATCTTGATTAAGGATAAGTTATCTTTCTATATATTGCCAAACTATAATCTCTCCTTTTTTTGGGACCTGTGGTGTGAAGGTAAAGCTCTTTCTTAGATTTTTACTACACCTAGATTATCTAATCTTGCTTTGAATAATTATATTCATACCAGCTCTTGGGTTTTGCCTGATTTCATTCCTCTTTCAGCTCAGAATCTCATTAAGGCTATACTCATTTCGGAGAATAGTGAGGTTTTATGGTAGGGAGTTTCAAATCCTATACACAGGAATTTTAATTCTCAATTTTATTCATAGTTGGAGACTGTGTCATGGCTTAAATATATATAGAATAAATAGTATTATCTTAGATTCTTCACTTATGCTTGGATGGCAAGCATTGAATGACTACAAGCAGCTAATTTACTGTTTAAGAAGACCATTAACATTCCCTCCTCTTGCCCTTTCTATCAAAATGCTTTGGAGACCCATAAGCACCTCTTTTTTGAGTGTGACTAATTGATCTCAGTGGTTACGGTTTCGCATCTCGGTTCATTTTTAATGAGATCAACTCTATTTCAATTATTTGATCATTTTGACAATACCCAATAGCTTAATAAAGGGGAAAAACCGTTTTGTTTCTTATCAATTTGCTGCATGATTTACCATTTATTAAGAGTGTTGCGTGCTAGAATATACGCGACAGTAGAGTTAGAAAATATTCGTCTTAGCGTTGCACGAGTATTCCGCACACAAACAGAAAAGAGAAATGAACATCAGAGTTTTTACGTGGAAAACCCAAAAAGGGAAAAAACCACGGGGCCTCGCCCAGTTGTAAAGTTCAATAAGTGTTTTTGTAGATTACAAATGGCTGATTCGTCCCACAAGTCGGGACAATCAGAATACAATTTGTTTATTCCAGGAAGTTTACAAAGTTCTGCAAATTCCCGGAGTTTCCCGAAAATCCGGCAGAGTTCCGGCGTATTCAGGCGGCGGGAAGAGCTCCAGCAGTGGTCGAGGAGGAGAGCAATCGCCTTTTCCCCTTTTCTTTCTTCTTCTCTTCTTCTTCTCTCTTCACTTGAGTCCCATTTGTGTAGAATGAGGGCTCTATTTATAGTTTTTCTGGAGTGGCATAGTCCGTAAATAGGCGTGAGATCAGGGGCGAATTGGGAGTGGTTTGAATGAACGGCCGATATTGAATCCTACGATCGTGCACCGTTAGTTAAGGTCTTAATGATGTCGGAATTTGACGATCTTAGGCTCGTTGGATTTGTCTCGTCGAGCCGCTCGATTCGAGTATAAGCTCGTTAAAATCGGAGACCGTTTGGTTACTCAAATTGCGGTTTGAAGCTTCCAACAATGCTTCAGGTCCTTGATTCGGACTCATTTGGGCTCAGATTGGGTCGAATTTGGTGTCGTTGGATTCGTATTTCCGAGACGCTCGGTTTGATTATAAGCTCGCTGAAATCGGAGTTCATATGCTCTTGAATTTAATTTTTGAAGTTTCCGAACTGATATTTTGCCTCGAGATTCGTGTCCAATCAAGATAATTTCAAGATAACTTATCAAAGAGAAACGAATAATCCTCAGTTTTCGGGGAATTGGGTTAGCCTTTATGCTGTGATAACTTCTGTTAAGAATGCTATTCGACTAAAAGTTTATAAATGGAAAAACTATGTTTCACTCAAAGATGCATTTCCTGTAGCTCTTTCATGAATTTTGTTCTTTTATTCAAGTTTCTCTACTCTCGTCTTCGGGACAATGATGAGTGAAGCCAATCACTTACCTTCAATTCTTTGGAGGGCCATTATGACAACCATGGATTTTTGGCCTGAAGGTCTTATTTTGAAAATTACTTTCGCCTCAAATGCAGTCCTCATGCCAACCAAATTTAATATGTTTGGCCCTGCGACAACCTGTGCCTCTCAATTGCATGCATTTGCATTTCGATGCTATAGAAATTATGATGGTTGGCTTTTTGATCACCTGAGTCCATTTCCCCTTCCTCACATTTTTTATGTCTCCTGAGGTTTTGGGTATGTGCTTTTCATTTTGTTTTCCATTTTTTACTTGTATTTGCTTTTTACAGTTGATTTTTTATCATTTTGTTGCAACATCTTTTGTTATTTATATAAGGGAAAACCCAAAATTTCTACCCCCCTCCCCATCAAAAAAAAGGATTAACTCAATTATTTTTCTGGTCGAAAAAATTGACCCAATTAATTTTATAGTTGAATTTGTGATGATTTAAAAATTATAATTTGACTCGATTATCATTTAATTTTGGATTAAAAGATATCGGGTTGAGTTAAATGAGCCATTTTTTTGTTGGCTTAATAAATTTACACTATCTACATCATAAATCAGCCAGATTCTATTTCTTGTCAAAATGGGTTCTTGTCAAATATTTTGACCCGATGATAAATAAATCAGATTCAAATCAATTTTATTTGAGTTAGAGCCAAATCTGATCCTTCACCTATATTAATCCTAGATTCGACCTTGATCAAACCTCTGAAATTTGAATCTTCTTTTGGCCGGTCAGGACAAGATGGTGAGGGAGCGGATAAGGTCTCTTCACCAGTATCTCGGTCCCGAGCTCGCGGTGCAAAAATATCTCTAGTTCAGAAAATGACGATGCTGCTACTTTCTCCACAGCCGACTACGGCCTTCTCTGCCGCCGCTTCTTCTCTCAGCCGTCTCTTATTACCTCTCCCCCGCCACAACTTCGTTGTTCCTCCCGTCTCCTCTCTCGCAATTGCCGCCGTTTCCACCGCCACTGGTGATCCCATCTACGCCGTAGACTCCCGCCGTTTTGACTTCTCTCCTCTCATCGACTTCCTTTCCTCCGCTATATCCATCACTGCGGAAGCCGACCCCGACGGACCGCCTCCGGCGGAGCTCTCGCCTGAGGAGTTCTGCCTTGCTGAGTCCTACCGATCCGTCCCTGCTGTTCTGTGGCACTCCCTGCTTAAATCCCTTGCCTCCGAACCTGCTTCTCTCTCCACCGCCACAGCTCTCGTTCCGTGGCTTCTCCGTCACCGCCTCTGTTTCTCCTCCGATCTCCTCTACTCTATCCTCATCCACTCCCTGGGCCGCCACCGCCGCCTCCAACTTGCTCTCTCCCTTTCCTCTTCTTCCTCGCTTTCCCCTCTCACTCTGAACGCGCTCATCTCAGCCTCCGCCATTAACTCCCGCCCCGACCTTGCCCTTCGCCTCCTCGCCCTCATGCGTCGCCAAGGCCTCCTCCCTGACCAGCAGAACTATACTCTTGTCCTCCAATCTCTTCTTCACTCCCCCGACCCCCCTGACCCTTCCCTCCTCTCTCTCCTCTCCTCTGACCTCCGCTCAGTCCGCCTCGAACCTGACGCCCGCCTCCTTTCTGACCTCATCGTAGCCTTCTCCCGCGCTGCCGACCCCGACGCTGCCCTTTCCGTACTCGCCCAAACTCAGGCCCAGGGAATCACCCCCAAATTTTCTGCTGCCGTCGAGCTCATCTCCGCCCTGGGCAATTCTGGCCGCGTTGATGAGGCAGAGGCCATATTCGCCGAGCTCCGCCACTGGGGCCTTCAACCCCGAACCCGCGCTTACAATGCTCTCCTCAAGGGCTATGTTAAAACAGGTGCTCTTAAAGATGCAGAACAGGTGCTCGACGAAATGGAACACTGCAGTGTGGCACCTGATGAGCGCACTTACAGCCTCTTGATTGATGCCTACACCAATGCTGGTCGGTGGGAGAGCGCCAGGATCTTGATTAAGGAGATGGAGATGAATGATGTCCGGCCTAATTCTTATGTGTTTAGTAGGATATTAGCAAGTTTCCGGGATAAGGGTGAGTGGCAGAGGTCTTTTGCTGTGTTGAGAGAGATGAGGAACAATGGCATCCACCCAGATCGCCATTTCTACAATGTGATGATTGATGCTTTTGGAAAGTATAATTGTCTTCACCATGCCATGGATGCTTTTGATCAGATGAGGGCTGATGGCATTGTCCCTGACGTTGTCACGTGGAACACACTTATTGATGCACATTCAAAGGCTGGTCGGCATGATCAAGCCATGAAGCTGTTTGAGGAGATGGAGATGAGTGGGTTGGCGCCATGCACAACAACCTTCAACATAGTTATTAACTCGTTGGGCGAGCAAGAGAGGTGGGAGGAAATGAAGGAGCTGTTTCAGAGGATGAGGGAGAAAGGGTTACTGCCAAATGTGGTGACCTACACTACACTTGTTGATGTTTATGGAAAGTCGGGGAGGTTTAAGGATGCCATTGAGTGCTTGGAAATGATGAAGTCTGGAGGGATGAAACCTTCCCCAACCATGTATCATGCCCTGGTGAATGCGTATGCTCAGAAGGTGCTTGA